CCCAAATATATATATATATATATGTATGTATTGATACGCACGAGTATACGCCATAGCGTTCTCTAGGATTTCTATACCCCCCTGTCTTTGTTCTCTTACATAGGCGTAAATTATTGCATTCACTTCTGTAACAATTCAATTCGTGGGCCTATTTTGACCTGCCATCGAGGTGCACATGGCCTCATTTCCGATAGGGTTGGAAATTCGGAGAATTGAAACACGAGCAAGGAGAGCAACTTTGAGATCAACAAATATCTGCGTACACCTTGCCTTACCTCTCTCATAGTGAACTTTGTCAGTACTGATGTTCAGTATAGATAGACAAACAAACAAACATATGAAGCAAGGCCTAATGTTTGCCTTACCGCAATTGAATGGGTGCCGGGAGACACCTGACCTCCTGCTGCATCTGGCGACGGTATTAAACGGTAGGGAATGCCTCGGCGTACTATGTATGTACGGAGGATGGTACTTTAATACGAAGGTGAAAAGCAAGGCACCCCCTTTTGAACCGTAAAGGGTCAAATTCTGTTGGATTCCATGCGCCAGTCTTACTCCATCGAGTTCATCGAACTTATTCCTGAGTTCCACCAGGGGTGATCTCATAGTATGACTCTACTAATAGAAGGGGATCTATTGCGATGGTAAGATGTACGTCATTACTCAAGCCTGACAGGTACGGAATCACCCAGTGCTGACAGTACGGAGTACTGTTCTGCCTGGACTCTGTATGTATGTATGTACATGTACCTCTAACGATGTACTTGCTTGTCTGCCTGGTGTTGGGTCTTTTTCGGTTTAAATGACGAGGATTGCCTGTTGAGAGAGTATCTAAACACAAGGAAAATAAAATTAGAATCCAAAGTGAGAAAAAATCTCTGTTTGCACAGAGATACATACATACGTACCAACCCGTGACACTCCAGAGATTTTCCTTCCCTTCTTTCCTTCCATTCTCTTCCTCCCTGCCCAAATTTCTGCCTTTTTGTTTTCTTCCCACCTTGTTGTTCTTGATTTATTATATTTTCTTTGATACCTATCTGTCCCCGCCCCTCCAATACCAAAAAAAAATTCAACGATCTTGTTCTTCGTGATCGGGTGGTTCCTACTTAGTACCTCCCGTCTTTATATTTCATCATCAGATTCGGACCGGGTCCCCACCCCCAATTGTTCTCATTTTTCTGCGCCCGCTCCAGTGATAGAGAGGATTGACCACTGGGGCCATTCCCGCCCGCCGCCTATCGATTCTGCCCTTACCCTTTCTCGCCCACCTGATTCTCTGCTCTCTTCCTTCTTCCCCTCTCTGACAGAACATCCCTCCCCCGAATTTTTTTGCCCTTTCCCTCTTTACTCTTAAGTTGTGCATGTGCATTTCCGGCCTACAGTCTTCCCAGAACTTCTAAATTGCGATCATTCGAAATAATGGGTCAGACTTTGTCAGAACCAGTAGTCGATAAGGTACGTGAAACCGAGTGTTGCTGCTTCGGCCTTCCTTTTTGATCCCCCCACACTACAATGTCCTTACGCAATAATTCCTTCCCTTCCGTCCTGAGGCCGCAGGGGCACTCGGTCGGCCTGCCACAAGCTTCCCAAGGGACGATCTCCCTACTTCAATTATATATATACATTTCTCTCTTTCTTCTGTGCAATGCCTGATTCGCTTTTCTGGGGGTTCTCCTTCTGTAATTACTCTTGTGTTGATTCGGTCTCGAGGCACCACATCGTGATGCACCTCACTTGCGGGGTCCTCCACATGAGGAAAGAAAATTTCCCGCGGACGGTCCACGAACCGATGCTCACCCAACATTGCGCGATAAATCGTCCTCATCAGTGCTAATATCGTCTAACTGTCTCTAGACTTCGGCCGAGGGCGAGGATGATTGCTGCATTTACGGCGTTTCAGCCATGCAGGGCTGGAGAATCAGCATGGAGGATGCCCATGCTGCCGTCCTAGACCTCCACGCGAAGTATACGAGTCCAGAAGAGACACCAACGGATCCCGCCAAACGCCTAGCTTTCTTTGGAGTATACGATGGACATGGTGGAGACAAAGTCGCACTGTTTGCCGGAGAAAACGTGCACAGGATCGTCGCAAAACAGGATTCATTCGCAAAGGGTGACATTGAGCAGGCCTTGAAAGATGGCTTCTTAGCCACCGATCGGGCTATCTTAGAAGGTTCGTGAGCGTTGTCCACAAGGCTTCCGGGTTTCCCTCCTCTCCCGTTTCTCTTATCGCCGAGGCCTTGAGAGACTGACCCGGCTAGACCCGAAGTATGAAGAAGAAGTCTCCGGCTGTACGGCAGCTGTCAGTGTAATTTCAAAGCATAAGATCTGGGTGGTACGTGAAGCAAGTTTTGTGATCGATGCAGCGGTCAGCTATAGTCAGCTTGGTCAACCGTTAACCGGACATAGGCCAATGCGGGTGATTCTCGCTCCGTGCTTGGAGTTAAGGGCCGGGCAAAGCCTCTTTCTTTTGATCATAAACCACAAAATGAAGGTCCGTGGCTCAGTCCTAGTTGAATCTGCCTCTTCGTCGTGATCTTTTATTGATGAACTACTTTAGGCGAGAAAGCTCGTATCAGTGCCGCAGGTGGCTTTGTCGATTTCGGCCGTGTGAACGGAAACCTGGCCCTGTCGCGAGCCATTGGTGATTTTGAGTTCAAGAAGAGCCCGGAGCTTGCACCCGAACAGCAGATCGTGACCGCCTATCCGGATGTGACAGTCCATGAGCTTAGTGATGACGATGAATTCCTTGTCATAGCCTGTGACGGTACGTGTTCCACGATCACCTCCTTTGTCAACTGCACACTCATACCGAGCTTTAGGTATCTGGGACTGCCAGTCTTCCCAGGCTGTGGTTGAGTTTGTTCGCCGCGGTATCGCCGCGAAGCAAGAACTTTACCGGATTTGTGAGAACATGATGGACAACTGCTTGGCTTCAAACAGCGAAACTGGTGGGGTTGGATGTGACAACATGACTATGATAATCATTGGCCTCCTGAACGGCAGGACTAAAGAGGAATGGTATAATCAGATAGCTGAGCGGGTGGCCAAAGGCGACGGCCCTTGCGCTCCTCCCGAATACGGCAAGTCTCTTGAGGATTCTACGGCCTCCAACCCCTACTGACTGAGCGGGGATGCAGCTGAATTCCGCGGCCCTGGTATCCGTAATCAGTTTGAAGAAAATCCGGATGACTACGATATGGAAAATGATCGCGCGCGTGGCTTCAGTGTTCGCTCGGGCCGCATTATTCTCCTAGGTGACGGCACTGAACTGGTCCCTGATCAAAACGACGAGGAGCTCTTTGACCAAACTGAGGAAGACCGGGATCTGCCTAGTCAGGTACAGCGCGAATCGCCTGATTCTGCCAGGAATGAGCGTGAAGGAACTCCGGGACCTCAATCTAAAACTGACGCTGCCTCCAAGTCTGCAGAAGGATCATCTGCTAGTACATCCGAGTCAACCTCTGCTGCCGCGGAGAGCTCTACCTCTGGAGCCCCTGAAAAATCTACGTCGTAGTTGTGATGGACTCTTTGCATCTGTATCCCCCTTTCCGATATTTTGGTTTTTTGAAACGAATCTTGTGATTTTATGATTGTTCCGCCTTGCACCAATGTCCTCCCACTTTCGCCTTGTTTTCCCGGTTTATCACAATAGTCACCTCCTCCCTTTCCCTGCAGTTGACACCCCGTGGCATTGAACGGGGCGGAACAAGTGGCGGAAAACCTTCTGTGTCCCTAGATGGCCAGGTATCTTTCATGTCTTGCAGGATGGGTTATAAGGGCTCCTCTTAGGATAGGAGGTTTTACTTCGTTTTCCATTTCAAGCCGCAAGCGGCAGATCTTACGAGAATACGTCTTGATTCATGCCTTACCACAAGATATCGTGCCAAATGACCCACTATTGATGAACTTTGATAATTATGATTTATTCCCCCCGCCTTTATTTTTTTTCTTCTCTCTTTTTTCATCCGTGGCTTCCTCCCGCCCTTTTTGCTCCATCTATCTACCTATTCATTAACTTTCGTCTGGTTTCATTCTCCCTCACCACTTCCCGGGGATCTGCTGCTCTCTTCTATCATTCGCACCGGGTCGCATAATGGACCAAACGGGGCTCTTGGGAAAACGCAGAGCCGGGGGAGTAAAGTCGGCGGGGGAGTATGGGAACGAAGATGCTCTATTGCACATGTGACGGCGTATCCGGAAAGCAATCAATGGCATGAAGACCTTTTTAGTCAGAACTGGAATGGCATCTAGTCGAATGCTTCAGCAGTGGAGTTCTGGAAATGTGATGGATACAGGCGATCTTTCTCATGTTCTGTTATTTTTTACTCGTACGGAATATAGAATCGTTGGCCGAGTGAATGCGTCCAAGCCCACATACCGGAGTGACGTATGATGAAATGGGGTGGGAAAGAGCGAAAGCGAGAGAGAGAGATTTAGTGTAAACCGAAGTGTATGGTTTCCAGGCCGGGGAAGAAAAGAGTATTTCATAAGGAGAAGGTCGAGAAGAATTGGAAGAGACATTGCATTGGCAGGGACTTGGAATCAACCGCGAATTGTTGGGGCAATTGTAGAAGGAAGTCGAAATACATGTAATGAATGGTTCTGACAGTTCACTGTATGTATGATACTATGGATACTATGGAGGTACTATACTAGTATAGTATACTTAGTAAGTCTGTTGGAAATTAACTAACGCTTACCGAGTCATATTAAGGGTTCCGCCCACGCGCTGTCCCAAAAGGTATTTTCGCTTTTGTATTTTAATTCTTTCATGTATGTATATGTATATCAGAGATGATTTTGAGAGACTGGTCTAAAAATTCTTACAATGAAAACC